TGGCACAGGATATGTCTACGGACTTACATCGCTAGAAACCGGGTTTCGATACCAGTGGTGGGCAGGGCACAGGTAGCCCATTGTGTAGCTTTGTGCTTAACTTCAATCAAACAGTCGGCTATGCTTATATGTTAACAATCACGGGAACAGTAACTGCTGAACATTTATCAAAGTAATGAGCCTAAGCTTCTGTGACAACTTTTACTTTAATCTTTACTATCAACTTGCAGGTAAACTAAAGAATCTCGGCGACAGCAAGTGCGCTATGAAGGACACCCACTTATTTAGGGGAGAGGCAGATTTTGGAAAAGGTAACCAATATCAACTAATTCATACTCACTACTATTACACGTCACTGCATATTAATTACTAAATCATATGAAAACGAATTATTAAGAAATATTTCAGACGAATGTAGTCTTCCCGGATCTTTTAATTATTAGTATTATTGCATTAGAAACATTTACGTCTGAGCTACTTATTACTATTATTATGCTCAGCTTTAATTGTATTTCAATTTAGTTTTTGATTGGTATTTGTAATCGATTATTTATACCACTTTGGAGTTTTAAAATGAAGGCACAGAATCTACACTGAACAAGTAAGGTCCCTGAACGCACACACACACCCGACCTCCCCATGGTGCCGCCCCTGACACTAAATAAGAAACCTTACTGTACCGATGACTTATAGACTGTCCCCCTAGTGTTACAATGGTATGTCTGCGGACTTGCACTGCTAGAAACCGGGTTTCGATATTCGTGGTGGGCAATCCTACTGGTTTCGAGCCCTTTTTACCACATACTGACTTTAGTAGATAATTATACCATTTTAAAAAATAGCCATATTTGTTACATTCGTGTATTATAAATAACCATTTCCAATGAAACGTAATTACAAAGTTGGTTGGGGGAACACTGACACTTGTTTTCTGTAGCTTATTATTATTCGCCTTGTTTTTTTTTTTTTGAAAGTGTTCATAGTTCATACTTTTACGGGGAATCATCACCCTGGAACCCCCACCCCAGCAATATGCACTGACCCAGCTCTTCTTCTCTCAAAAAATTGGCAACTATATTTAAAACACATTCTGTCGGCCACATCATTTAGTTCTTATTGACCAATCAAAATAAAATAAATTCAGTTATCTTATATTAAAGCTATATGCTTTATTTTACATACTCTATGATTTATTATCACTCACACTGAACCTATGAAGTCCAAACAAATCTGTTTGCTGATAAAAAAAAAAAAATTGTAACCATTGTGTAAATCTACTTCCAACCACAGAGTAGGCCTAAGACTAGCGATTTCAGATCGTCGTTTGCACAACTAAGTATATATATTATTTAGCCGAACAAAAATATATAAAATTACTGCCACGAAAGAACAAACCAAACTTGTATTAACAGCAGATCAGAGCTATAACGTAAAATACGAAGTAAACATTATCTCAAATTTATTGTCACATGACAAATGAAAACTTATACATAACACACAGATAATTAAAACAAAAACGTCATTTCCCTGATAGTTCGATATCACTGTTTCTTTTTATTCTAATCTGTTCGGCAAACTTCAACGTCACGAGAAGCTTTAACCGTGCTTAGACATATTTAGTCAAATAAGATTGTGCATTACTCCGAATCCTCTACTAGATATTACATTGAATAAAAAGTAAAATAAAGCAAAAAATATAAAAATGAATATCTATCTATGCCTGTTATGTATTAGACATATTGGCAACATAAATTTTGCGAAATATTGGAGGAAGATCTCTTGCCACTTTATTCCTCGGGTTTCGTGGACAAGAACACAACGTTGTTCCAGGAAGATGGAGTACTGTGTCACACTGCTAGAAACACCCAAAAGTGTCAGGAAGAAAATGTTATACAGAAGTTTCCCTGGCTGAGCCAATCTCCTGACATGAACCCCATCGAAAACCTCTGTGCCATACTCGACCGACAAGTCAAGAAACAACCACAAAAACCAACTTCGAAGAGCGATCTACTGCACGTTTTGAAGCAAGAATGGGCGAAAATCACATCATTGACTTCTAGAAGGATCCTGAATGCTATAGCGTTTACTAGATTTCGGTATTCTTTTATATATAAGACCGGCTAAGAAGCGACGGCAACAATGTAATGCGTAATTGACAGTTGAGTCGAGCACGTGAGACGTTCGTTGTGAATTATAGCGTTTGTTATAGCGCGACTGTGGAAATTAAGTGTATTGCAAAGTTGTATTTAGAAAGAATAAACCAGTTTTATTTAAGAAAGGACTTGTATCGCTAAAGTTTCTTCGGAAAGAAATTATACGGAAAATTAACGACCGGAGGCGTAACAATATATATATATATATATATATATAGAGAGAGAGAGGCTAGATTGACGTAGAAAATAATAATGACTTCGGTATATTCACTCCCTAGATTTTTCGTAAAGCTGCCACTACAATGTTTGAGTTACGTATTTAGTTTGATATGCTCACTGGAAGTGTATCAAATGGAATGAAATATACAAATACATATATAAACAATACTTACTGGTACAGAATGACCTCGAATGTCATTCGGTATACCTGTAATGGGGTCAAACTTCCCAATTCGAGGACCTAATAGAACAGTGCCAACAAAAGCACTTGTACCACCAACTAAATGTACGACTCCACTTCCTGCAAGATCCTGCAACAATGATAAACACAGTTTATAGCGTAATTGAATAACGCAGTTTGTCAGTGAAACAAAAACAAAATGATATACCAATAAACTATACATACGTATAACCTTAAAATTATTAATAAGTATCTATTCTTTAATACGTGATTAAGTTGCATCCATAGAAGTTTACCTTAAATTTGTTTGTACCATCTCCAACTGCAAGCCACCCTCTATCAGACCAAGCCCAATGGGAGACCACTGGGTAAATGAACCCTATATGGGAAAAGAACGAACATAGTCATGACTGTGTCAACTATATATAAATAATTTACATTTTGAAGGTATATGTTTAACTATACTTCAATAATCCTCTGATCCTTGAGGCAATTTCTTCATTTAAGAAAGTACAAGTAACCATGAAACTGTAACACATAAAAATTTACCAGTAATAACAAAACTGTAACAAGGAAAAGTTATACTAAAGTAACGATAAACAAAACTGTAAAAAGAACACAATCCTGGAAATTATTTAGTGATAAAGAAATTGACATAACAGAAGAAACTACTCAAGCCTGGAGACTTACCAGTGATTAAGAAACTGTAAACGATGTAAACAGAAAAACTGCACCGCTCTGCTACAGAACCTGACACAATGGTGGAAGCTGTCGCTGCAAAGACGAATTGGAAAAACCAATTGGCAAGCATAGTTCCTTCAACTTTGTAGCTTGCAAAAAGGCTGAAACCAATAAAACTGTTTCCGTCTCCATAGGCAAGGGCATAACCAAGAATCCAGTAGGCTATCCCAGCGACAACTTAAAGTGATAATTATATCTAAAAGTTAGAGGCATGTGTAACAACATAATCAATGAAATAATGTATATTGTACAACAATATAGAATTATTATAACTCTAACAGAGACCTGCAAAACAGTTGCAGTCAAATTAGTATCTTTATTGAAACAGTACTTCATTAAATACAGGATTTGTAAAATAATATAAAATAATTCTAATCGCAGACACCGATATCTATTAGTTCACTTGTCTTAGGCCTAACATTTAGGCTGTTCTTAAGTACGGCCTATATTTGATAGACAAAAATTAACGCATTAACTTGTGTATGTTTTTTGCTTTAGTTTACTCAAAGCTAAGCTTTACTATACTTAATACTATCAATAAATAAACTTGTTATGTTATTCTACGACCTAACGTTAAACCGTTTTAAAAACTTTGATAAGCTTTTAAATACGTTGTTGTATAAAATGTCTACTAAAGTGTATTTACATTCGCCTTTCGTTTGCGCATTTAGATAGCAAGATGCATGCGCGTTTACAGAAAAGACAAAAACTGAGTATTATTGTAATAGATTGTACGCCAAAGTAAATTTCTGATTACATGCATCTGTTGTAGAGCAGTAGGCTGAGTACGTTGTATTAAAACGATTTAGGAGCTCCCCACGATTTTAAAGTCCATGTAACCACGTCTGGTCATATTATATTCGACCACTGTTTAAATTGCCAATACCCCTGCAGAGTAGTTTCCATAGCAAAAGGGCCAATTATGTCATGTTAAAAACACATCACCCATTCCTATATGCTTTTCATAATCTATCTTGTGTACGAGGACGATATTTTTTCAGTGTTCAGTTTAATAATATATATATACATAGTCTTTGAGTATTCTGTTGGGCTCGATTCCAGAAGAAGATCCCTTTTAATCGACGAGACAGGAAAATCTATTGTACTTACTGGCATTGGAAAACGTAATAATTTGAATTAAAGTGGTGCATCAGAGCCATTCGAAAAGAGACCTGCAACAAGTCGTACTCAAGCTGTGATAAGCAATGTGCGGCGTCATGTAACAGGTGAGAATCCACAAACAAAAAGGCCTAACACGTACCCAAGTCAACAGTGTTCAACATAATTTGAATGTGCGAATATTTTTTGCATCAGAAACGTGTATATATCCTCTTCCTAAACGCAATCGATTTGGAGTGCTGATTTACATATTGTTACGATAGCGGAAGTCACGCAACGCTTGGAGCATGCGCTGGAGTTCTAGGTATGTTAAAATGTGTCAAAACCATGCTCAAGTCTACTATAAATATTTCAGTATTTTTCTTTGATAACACGCAGGTTGAATTTTTGTCAGAGTACGTTTTTGTTGTATATAAACTGTTGTACTAGTTAAGTGGATCAAATTTTCTAAAACGCCTTTTCGTACTAAATATAAAATATATTTGAAATATTTAAGTATAGGAATATCAGAGGAAGTTAGTAGAAATATTCCAATCAAGTTATACAAGATGATTTTTCCCACAAACTGTTAATTAAATATTAGTAGAAACCATCTTAACAATTCAATCTGAATACTCACAGATATGCAGAAGGTTCTTGATCAGAATGTTAGTGGTGTTCTTACTCCGGACAGCCCCACATTCCAATAAGGCGAAGCCACCTTGCATAACTGTGCAGAAAATAATATTTCATAAACAACCATTTCAAATTTTGTAAATGCTATCAAAGACCTTAATTAGTGACATCATTTGTTGTGTGTGAACACACTTCCAATATTTTACTTCCTTTTAAAAATAAACTTTACTTGCATGTTACTCATAGAAAATGTAATTTCAATAGTTTTTATTGATAATACGTGAGACATATATATATATATATTACATATTTCCAAATATTTATACATAGATATTCAACATATGCTTTATTATATAGACTCACTATTAAAATGAACCGAGCTCGGCCCAATAGTTAGTGTTCCATTACAAAAGTATGCTACGTATTTTGGGGTGTTAAAAAAATGACGGTCAAATCCCACTATTTGGTTTGGCAAGAGTATTTCAAAGCTGGTGTTCACTAGGCGCTTTTCACCTAGTCTATCACTTCAGAATTAAGGATGGCTATAAACGATATCCAATGAAAACGACAACAACAATAAAAAAAATATAAAAAAAACTGGTAAAATTTATGACCCATGTATAAATAGCAAATAGATAGACATATCAATTTATGTTTTCTTCTGCAGATATACAGTAGCCTAAATGTCCGCTACTACATACACTATATTATATATATATATAAAGTTCTTCTGTTGAGTCCCTAGGCCACTTACGACCGCTGGGACACTTTAGATTCTGATGCACCGTCGGTGATTTTCGGGCAGATGTTACCTGGTAGCGCTCATCACCTCTCCAGGTGCCCGTCTCTAATTTAGCAGTGAAAGGCCAGAGGGAAGACGGCTAGTCAACACCACCAACCATCAACTTTTGGGCCACTCTTTTACCAACGAATAGTGAGATCGACCGTTACATTATAACTCCATCACGGCTGAAAGGCGACGGCTATTCGAACACGCAGGTCGTGAGTCGAGTACCTTATCTGTCAGGCCATGCCAGGTCCATATTATATATATACAGTACTGGAAAGCATTATGGAAGTGATAACAAGAACAACAACAAAAAAGGGAATCAAAGGCAAATTCTACAGGAATGCTACCTTCACATCTTGTGAAAACGAACTGCACCAGAGTACAGTCACGTGTTGATAGTTTACACTGACTGGTTGTTATCCAGTCTATAAGAAAGTGCACACCAGTATAAACCATTCAAAAGTACATGTCATACTGTGTCCAGTAGTAGTAGTAGAACCCAGTCATGGATTACAGAATTGGAACATCGCATGACGAGCCTGTAGAAATCAACATTTTGGCAGATCAAGGTTTCTCCGTGTGAAAAACCTGTGGCAAGATTCCGTGTTTCATAGCAGGTATACGCATGGCACTGAAGTGGGTACCTGGTACGTACATTGATAGAATAGGTAAAAATATTTAATTCAAACAATCAGAAAGTAGTGTTATGTATCTCAGGGTATTTTCTCTGCATGATAGGTAAATTCGATTACAACTCTTGACAACGACGTTTCTATAAATACAGTTATGAACAGTACATCGAAAATAATAAGATATATATTGTTTCAATGGACGTGTAGCTGTTTGAAAACCGCTGCTGAGAAGAGAGAACTAAATGTAAATTTTGAAATGGGTATCGGACCACTAACAATGGAATGAACAAAACTGGAAACAGATGTTCTTTATAGATAAATTCAAGTCCACGTTTTTCGCCAACAATATACAATAGTTTATTCGTCGACAGAGACGAGAACGGTGCAATCTTAAAAGTGAAGCATCTGGAAGTTCAGTAGAAGTTCGTGTCTGCATCTCAGTTAATGGTGTTGTTGACCTACAAAAGACTGATGGCACCCTGACTGTTGGCAACTACAGGAAGACTTTAATTTATCAAGACATCCTCAGAAACATGGCCCAATGGGGACGGATTTATCTTCCAATAAAATAATGATGGCAAGCGAACAGCAAATGTGGTGAAATGATATCTTGACTATAAAAAGGCTGATAGAACACTCACAACCATGACTTGGCCTATAGTATGGGCTTATGTAAAAACTGAGAAGTTTAAAAAGCTTGGACGAATTATGGTGTGTAATATATGATATCTGGAACAATATTCCACAATCATATATACAAAATATTTATGGTAACATGAAAATAAGATCTAATGCTCTATATAAGGGCTCACGTACAAATAATGCATTTTACAACTTAATCGCGTTTATTTTGTACTTTTTTTTAACCATGTTTTGTATCATTAATAAATTCACGATGCAGTTGTTATTTCTCACTATTTTTGACTATTACCTATTGTATGTATATCACTTGTGCGTTTCCATAATTATTTCCATTAATATTTTCAATATATATATCTTATTATTGAAAAACAGTCAGTCCCGAATCTGCTGGTCTGCTGTTAACTTTCACGAATCTCTTACGACTACACCAGAAACCACTCGTCGTCTATTCTTTTGATCCGGCTAGGAGCAACAGCCCCCTCTTTAATAGCGTACCTGCACATTCTTATTTTTAAATAACGTGATATATTTACAGTATTATGATGAACCATACGTTTGTTCAGTTTTATGACAATTCAAGTTGAATACTACTTACTCATGATGCAGACTTCTTGAATTATTATGACCGCTCTTTAATATTTTAATTATTTTTATTTTTAAATTGATTACAGAAATGAAAAATGTTAGTATGTCGTCTAACGGTTTGTATTACCCTTTACTATTACAAGATATATAACACTGTTTGTTTGTAATTAAGCACAAAGCTAAACAATGGGCTATCTGTGCTCTGCTCACTACGGTATCGAAACCCGGATTCTAGCGTTGTGTGTCCGCAGACATACCTCTGTACCACTGGGGGGCATATATAATACTATGGTACTGATTAAGATTGCTGGGGACCTAATGGTTATTGCACTTTTGTAGGTGCCCATCGATGAAATCGTATATAACTATATATTTAATTTCAGAGTCAACTGGGCTCTCAAAGTCTGGGACGAAAACCGTGTTGACCTGTGCATTAATCCCGTATCGATAATGCCTCATTGTGTAGTAAAGATTCACTTAACTAGTCTAGTTAAACTTGCATCTGGTAATATTATTATAATTAGCTGTTATATTTACCATTATTCATATTTCATTAAGTCGCATAAATGATAATAATGTATCTAAATAATATCCTTTTTTTTCGGTTAGTTCTAAAAGTTTGATCTTATTTACTTATCACTTTCTTCTAACCTTCCTTGACCAGGTTTGGTAGTTTCTTTGTACACGCTACTTAAAGTAAGTTCTGTTATTTGTTGTTTTAATTTGGTTAATTCAATGGTGTAGTAGGGAGTTGCAAAGTGGGGGGTGCATTGAGAGATTGAAATAATATATATGGAGCTGCTAAAAGCAGTTCAATCTAGGAGAGTCTGGAGACATGTTCCCCAGATATAATAATATAATTTACACTTGCTATATAAGTCAAATATGTAAAAGTGGATGTACTAGAGCACCCACCGTTCCGACACCCCTGTAATTAAATTATACTCTTTAACTTCGATCAGTTTTTGATTTTGAACTTGCATGAACACTTATAAGTAAATGCGTTAAAACTTACAAGTACGTGTGATATCAGTCGTTTTGCAGAATAACTAAACACTCGCAACCATTTAATGACATTGCTAGGGTTTAGGATAAGTCGTTTCGCGTAATGCAATCTTACGTTATATCTGGAATATATCTAAGACTTTAGAAGCAAGCAAATGACGTTTCTAAGTGCTCACCTACTTAGTTTTTTTTTTTTCACTGACAATCATTTAACCTTATTGCTTATAATGTTTAAAGTAATGTTGAATATTTTCAAGTTAATATGTTTTCTTAGGAAATTTATTTCGTTTGTTCGTTCAGAGTTCAGTATATGTCTTATGTGTTTATTATGCAAGGACTTTTAATAATCTTGAATTGTAATTTTTATACTTATGAAAATTATTTTGTATTATTAGGTTAGTATGTAGGTTTGGAATAACTGGTAGATATTGCTGGAATTATGTCTGAAAATGTCATTAATAGCTGAAGATTCAATGTGTCTAACCACTAGAGGTTATTTTTTTCTTGTATATTGATTTGTCAGTTGGTTATACCTAGAAGGCTTTATCAATTTATGTATTTTAAGTTCTAATCAGAAGTTGATAAACTAGCCAAGATCGTGCCCGATAATAACATCGTTGAACATTTGATTCCCAGAAAGTTTTATGACTTCTATTAAAAAGTTAAGAAAGTGTAATGAGTGACGATTATGTTAGTATTGCTAATAATAATTTGAAGATATTTTCTATATGCATTATTTTTAATTAATACAATAAAAGTTTTTTATTCAATCCACTGTCTCTGTGCTTCTTGTCTCATGTAAATTCACCAATCCGTGTGACTTTTAGAGCTGGGATTCTTACCCGATAATAAAATAGATGTTATCTACAAAAGGGGTTGAGAGAAGGCTTATTTCCTGACTGATATGTAACTGTATTGTGATAATGTGTTACAGAATCTTCAATACATCCTGGTTCCATAAATAACAGGATATGATAAGACCACAGTTTATTTTGCTATAAATACCATAAGGAAGCGTAAGTAATAGATTAATCTAGAATTTAAAAATAGCTTCAGGAGATATGATTATAATGAAGAGGATGTAGATAGTTTTAAAAGTTTAGTAATGATGAAGCGTGTATTTCAGACCAGAATCACGTGTGTAAAGAGTGCTAGAAGAATAAAGAAGACGAGAAACGTCAAACAAGACCATGAAGCAGATATATATGTTAACTCAACGGCAAGAGTGCTAATCTTATTTGGGATAAGTCACAAGGGTTAAGAAAGAAGTTAAGAAGAGCTATGCACAACCAAATGAACTCGCTGATACAAAGTACATTAAAATTAGATTAGGAGAAAATATTAGTAAATAACCTAGTGTGTTTGAATACAAATGTAAAAAAAAAGCCCTTAGGCAACGCTGCTAAAATTGACAGATTAGTAACGAGAAAATAGTTTAGA